CTTTAAGAGGAGGCTAGATGTACACCTTGCTTGGGTCATTTGACCCCAGTACTCTTTCCTGACATGGCAGGGGGTCGGACTTGATGATCTGCTCAGGTCCCTTCCAACCCTACTAACTATGAAACTATGAAGCCAGGAAAGCTGAAGAGCAACTGGAGTTCCAGCTAGCAATGGACATGAAGGGTAACAAGAAGGGTTTCAACAAGTATGTCAGCAACAAGAGGAAGGTCAGGGAAAGTGTAGGTCCCTTACTAAATGGGGGAGGCAACATAGTGACAGATGATGCAGAAAAGGCATTGAAGTACTCAGTGCCCTCTTCTCCTCAGTCTGCACAAGCAAGGTCAGCTCCCAGTCTATTGCATCTGGTAGCAGAGTTTGGGAAGGAGGCAAGCAGCCAACAGTGGTGAGAGAACAGGTTAGGGACTGTTTAGAAAAGCTGGATGTGTATAAGTCCTTGGGGCCAGACATGAAGCACCCAACAATGCTGAGGGAGTTGGTTGATGTGATTGCAGAACCACTGGTCATTATTTTTGAAAACTTGTGGCAATTGGGAGAGATCCCAGGTAATTGGAAAAGAGAAAACATAGTGCCCGTTATTAAGAAAGGGAAGGAAGAGGACCTGGGGAACTACAGACTGGTCAGGCTAACCTCAGTCCTAGGAAAAATCATGGAGCATCAAAATTACATTTCTAAGCACATGGAGAAGAAAGTAATCAGGATTCACCAAGGGCAAGTCATGCCCGACCAACCTGATTGCTTTCTATGATGAGATGACTGGCTCTGTGGGTGCAGGAAGAGCAGTGGACATGATATACCTTGACCTTAGCCAGGTTTTTGATATGGTCTCCCACAACATCCTTGCAAGCAAGCTAAGAAAATATGGTTAGATAAATTGACTCTAAGGTAGATAGAACACTGGCTGAATCGTTAGCCTCATCAGGGGTTGGTCCTGGGGCTGGTTTTGTTCAATAACTTAATCAATGACCTGGAAGATGGGATAGAGTGCATTCTCAGCAAGTTTGCAGACAACACCAAGCTGGGGGTAGTACTATATATACTAGAGGATACGGCGAGGATTCAGAGAGACCTTGATAAATTGGTGGATTGCATGAAAATAAATCTCATGAGGTTCAATAAGGACAACTGCAAAGTCCTGCACTTAGGCTGAAACAAGTCCATGCACAGACACAGGCTGGGGTCCAACTGGTTAAGCAAGAACTCTGCAGAAAAGGACCTTTGGGTTACAGTGGGCAATAAGCTGAGTACAAGTCAACAGTATGCCCTTGTTGCACACACTAATGATATGCTAGGCTGCGTTGGTAGGAACATTTCCAGCAGATCAAGGGAAGTGATTATTTCCTTTTATGTGGCACTGGTGAGGTCACATCTGGAGTCCTGTGTCCAATTTTGACCCCCCACTATGGAAAGGATGTGGACAAATTGGAGAGAGTACAGCAGAAGGCAACAAAAATGGTTAAGGGGCTGGGGCACATGACTGAGGGAAGACTGAAGGAATTGGGCTTATTTTGTCTGGAGAAGAGGGCTAGTGATAGAAATTACACACAAACTGGTACAAGTCATTGTAAACCAGTTCAAATCTGTAACACAACAGAAGTTCACTGTACATAAACCACTTTCAAAACTGCCAAAACCAATTTAAGATAAACATAGATGTGTGTAATATCAGACTTGACAGATTAGGTAAAATCAATTTATTGAACTTTTGCCCAGATGCCCTTCACATTCAAGTTAAGTCACAATCTCCCAACATCCCAGGATGTTTTTCACCTTTCCCTTAAACCACCTCTCACAGTGTGGGTGGGCTAGACTTGGCCCATGCTGTGTGCTCTAGCACTCCCTGGCTTTTGGCCTGGATCACTGCAGGTATCTAGCTGCATTTCAAGAATCAAAAGTAAATGTCTAGTTACTTACTTAGCCATTCAATCTATGCAGCTTAGACTAACCTGTGAAGGTTGAATTGATTCAGCCTTGGGCTTCTTGACTGTCTGCACTTAGCCAAGATGACTAGGGGGCAAAAGGGGGAAGGGAGGATTTAAGAGCAGACTTTAACTACCTGAAGGGTGGTTCCAAAAAGGATGGAGCTAGACTGTTCTTAGTGGTGGCAGATGACAAAACAAGAAACAATGGTCTCAAGATGCAGCCAGGGAAATGTAGATTAGATATTAGGAAAAACTCTCATGAGAAGGGTAGTAAAGCATACAGATGTGGAGACTGTGGAATCTCCATCCTTGGAAGTTTTTGTGACCTAGCTAGACAAAGCCTTGGCTGGGGTGATATAGTTAGAGCTGGTCCTGTTTTTAGCAGGTGGTTGGATTAGATGACCTCCTCAAGTCCTTCCAACTCTAATTTTTATGATTCTATAATTCTAAGACTGGCAGAGTTCTGTCCCTTTATTAAAACTTACTTTTGTGGGGGACAAAAATTATTTTTGAACTCTCATCAAAATATGAAGATCCTTTATTAATAAGACCAGAAGCAGTGTTCATGACTTCACTAAATTATGATCCAATAACATCAATTTGAAGATATTTCACAAAGAGACTCACACTCAGGGTTTTCAATAGCAAAACATCATCTCTCCATTAAAAGTGATAGTTAGGGAATCTGAATCAGTATATTTCTATTTTAGTTTAACATAATTGCTTACTGCAAGGAAAAGGAAATGGTTAGAGAATAATGTTTTACTGAATTAATAGAAACAGGGTCTAGCTTTTTAACAACCATTTGCAGACATACAAAGAAAGCAACCTTCCTCTCTTCTGCTTCTGCACAGGGACTGGCACAACCGGAGGCTAGTTACCAATGCCAGTCACAGTGTCTGTTCAGCATGGAGGGAAGCACATGCTACTACATTTTGTAGGGTATCAGAGTTGCTGCTGTAGTTTACTGGGATCCCAGAAAGAATTATCCTGTTGCAGAAGGTTCAAGAGTTCCTCCTAGGAGCTCTTCTCATTGCAGCAAATTGTATCCCACCTAGCCTGCATGCCTTGCTCCCATTCTTGTAGCAGGGAAGGGCCCAGCTCAGCCAGCACGCAGCTTCTGAATGGCACTTTGCTGCCACTGCTGCAGCTACTGGGGGACCTGCTTGGCTTCCCTGGCATCCCACTCACTTCAGGCAGCGGGTAGGGAAGTGGGGTGGGAGGGAATGGGGGTGCTACAGCTGGGTGGGAGGGCAAAGCATGGGGCTGGTGGCAGCATGGAGCCTGCACCCAGAGAGGTGGCAGGAGCATGGGGCTCAGCTGGGCAGGATGTGGGTATGAGGGAGGGTTCGGAGGTGTGGGGACCCCCCCCCCACACTCCCCACCATGGCACACAGCCTCCATTGCCACCATTGACAGCAGAAAGTGGTGGGTGCTTGAGGCATACAGGGCCCATGCAGGTGCTGCCACATGGCAGCATGTGGCTCCAGTGACAAGGAGCACAGCCAGGCCAGCCCTCCTCCATTGCACAGGCCTCCATGCAGTGCATGTGCAGCTCCCGGCACTTGCGCACTGCTGGGGCAAGCCCTGTGCGGTTGAGCAGGCTGTTTTCTCCACTCCCTGTCATGCAGGTCCCAGAACTCTGCTGGGAAGCAGAGGGTGGGGGCGGGGCTTCCCTCCACTTCTAGTGGAATCCTGGGACCTGCATGGCAGGGAGCAGCGAAGACAGCTGGCTCCATCATGTGGGGCTTCCCCCAGTGGGGTGCGAGTGCCAAGGGCTGCACGTGCACCCTGAAGAGCCCCATGGGATAGAGGTGGGTCAGCCTGGTTGCACTCCTTGCCACAATGTGCAACAGTGGCCAGAGCCGCACGCTGCTGCACAGCAGCACCTGCATGTGCCCCAAGTACCCACCACCTTCTGCTGCTGCTGACAGTGGGTGCTGTGCACCATGGGTGGGGAGTGTATGAAGGGTCCCCTCACCCCCTACCCTCCCTCACACCCCACAAATGCCACACACACACACCCTGCCTCCACAACCTCCTCACATATGTTCCCCCAACATACCCTACTGCCCCCCACACATACAGCTACACCCCCTCACAAGGCCTTTCTACACACACCCCCACCATACACATGCACACAACCCCAACCACACCCCATGCACCCACACACACAAAATACAAAAGTAAGACTTATTTTTAGTTATGCAACCATCTCTATATGCAAACACAAATCATGACAACATATTTTTGTTATAAAATTTAAATATGTTATAGTAGGTGTTTGACTTCTAGTCTATGATATGATTGTTTTCTGGTTCTAAGATGATACCCACCCACCCCTCCCAAAAGGAGTACTTCCAAGGGGGGCAGGTGCAAGAGGGTAAGGGGAGGAACTTCTGGTGGCAAAGGTCAGGGGTTCAGGGTGGGACTTCTGGTCCCAAGATGGTGACCAGGGGGAAGAACACATGTCAAGGGATGGGGCTACCCTTGTGGCCCTCGACAGTTCACCAAAACTCATTAAGCTTCCCTCCAGCCAAAATAATTGCCCACCCCTGTCCTACAGTCAGCCCCCAACAAAGCAGAGTAGCCTGTGCTACTAAACAGGCTTCCTTCCTTTTTGACTAGCAACAGCTGAACTTTCATTTCCTTACTGTCTGAAAATTAATGTAAGTTTCTCCTTACCTTATTAATATACAGTACCACTTTGAGAATGCTGCTGTCTGTCATAGAGTAATAAAATTGAAGATGGCAATTCTTGCCAAAGCAATGACACATGGAGCTGTTAAAATAAACTCTTTTGTATAATGTGTTATCATTAGCTCCTATCCACATGTAATGGCCTGAAAAAGAAAAGAAAACAGTGAACTATTTCACAAAACATCTTCCCCGCAGTCTTTAAAAATAAGGATTACAGTATTCCTATAATTAAAAAGAAAACAAACTATTTCAATAGGAGTGGATTGCCTTGTTCTAAAGTGATACAATGATTCAACTTGTGAGATATCTAACATTTTCTCATTTAAAAAGTTATTATTATTTGGGCCATATAATGACTTTAACAAGCAAACATTTGCATGAGCTGATGTTATTATTCAAGTTGCAGCAAGAGAAGTTTAGGTTAGATATTAGCAAAAACTTTCTCACTAGGAAGGTAGTAAAGC